CTGGCCTGGAAGAGGGGCAACCGGGACAGCATCCGGCACCCCAACCGGGACTAGAACCCGGTGTGCTGGCACCGCAAGGCAGAGGATTAGCCTATTGAGCCGCGGCGCCGGCCCAGATTTATTTTTGTATTTAGTGTTCGTTTTAAAGGTATGTGCAGCAAAAACTGTGCTTAAAAAAAAATGGAGGAAAACTCAAGGCCGCCACCATTTCACAGGCTGCTGTTAATAACTTTAATTCAAAAACAAGTATTCTTAGTATGTCAAGAGTCTTGACACATTATTTAATACATTTTATTTTGTTTTTAAGAATTCTTTATTTTGAAAGAGTTACAGAGAGAGGGAGGGAAATAAAGAGATCTTCCATGTGCTGGTTCACTCCCCACAGTAGCTAGTGCTGGGCCAGGGGGAAGCCAGGAACCAGGAGCTTCATCCGGGTCTTCCACATGGTTGGCAGGGGCCCAAGCACTTGGGCCGTCTTCCACTTCCACTCCCACTCCCAGGCCATTGGCAGGGAGCTGGGCAGGAAGTGAAACAGCTGCAACTTGAACCAGCATCCGCTGGGGATGCTGGCACCATGGGTGAGGGTTTTACTTGCTATACCACAAAACTGCCCCATAAAGTGTACATTTAAGTCATTTAATCATAGCATATTTTGTGAGCAAATCCTCTTATAGATCAATCTATGCTTGTAACGTCCATAGATAATCTCAACTAAATAATTATTAGAATCTAAACACATAGTTCATTAAAGTAGTATTTAATGCGTTTAAAATTTTAAGTTAAAAGGAAAATCTCCCCAGCACACAGGGCATCATGTAGTTGAGGCACAGAAGGGAGTCACAGTGCCAAATAACGTACCGTGAAGATCTCTCCGAGTTGACTCAAAGCTTTCTAGTTGAAATAGCACCTTCTTTGTCAGTGTGAAACCACAGATCCTCAAAAATAGGAGTGAATATTTAGAAGTAACTTTGTAGAGAAGACTTTTTAAGTGTATGTAATCTACCATTAAGTTGCAGTTAAAGGGGGAAAAAATCCAAAAACCTCAAGGTAAAGTAGTTCAGGGACTACGTTTGGAAAGGGCAGTGTCGTTCCGTTCACTGCTCTGGCGAACTTAATGAAGGAAGATGGGTCTGGCGTTAACACAGGTAATACCTTCATAGTGTTTGCAGGTAAGGGGCACCTTTAAAAAGATCTCTGTTGATTTTGGTTTAAAACAGTTTAGATAAAGCACTTCCTGTCCTTCAGGCTGTCCATAAAGTGTAACCATTTCACATTTTAGGGTTCAGGATGTAACACGTCTGGCTAAAATGGTAGTAGGTGGCCCAAGTCAGGGTGGCCAAGCACAACAGAGCCCCTACCTAAAAGCCTTTTGGGCCAGTAGTATCCCAGGTCCACTGCGATGATTTCACACTTGGTGTCTGATGAGTGCTACTCCGAGCGTGCGTGGGGTTGGTCACGCGTGAACTGAACCACCAGCTGGAGCTGTGGTGGTCTGAGAGGGGGTGACTGAAGCAAGGGGCCGACTGTTTGCTGTCACAGTTTAGAAGCGTGTCAAAGATGAGCATCGTCTACACCACAGCCTCCATAAACCTGTGGGTGTCAGATGTCAGATGTCTTACATCATGGTGAAAAGCGAGAAAAGTACTTTTTAAAGATTTACTCATTTGAAGAAGGGAGACTGAGATCAAGCTTCCATTTTCTGCTAGTTCACCCTCTAAGTGCCCATAGCAGCCGGAGCTGGGCCGGGCCAAAGCCAGGCACCTGCAACTCTTCCTGGGCCTCCCACATGGGTAACAGGGACTCAAATCCTTGGGCCATCAGTCTCTGCCTTCCCAGGCGCACCAGCAGGGAGTTGGATTGGAAGTGGAGTACTCGGGACCTACACTGGGGATGTGGGACTTGGAAGGGGTGACTTAACCTGCTGTTCCCCAAGGCCCACCCCAAGAAAAGCACTTGATGTCCCTGCTCTGTACTTACAGGACAGCACTGTGTGTCACGCCCTTGGATATTCTTTGATTTTTCTTTTTAATGCAAAATCTCTTGGTCGGATTTGAGTAAACTCATCCCGGTGTTCCCCACTGGTCACTCTGCACAGTCTGGAAAAATACTGCCTTAGATCCTTTGTGGATGTTTGCAACCAGCCTTGTTCCTTACTTGTTTTGGGGTCCTCCTGTTGGTATTACATTCAGTGTGAGTTTATATTTCCTAGAAAGCAACATAGATTTTTTTAAAAAAATAAAATTTATTGAACTTGGGTTCCCAGATCTAGCTCTAAAGTATGTCAGCCAAATCCAAGTACAAAAATAGGTCTGGTTGATTGGATCCAGAGGAATGTAAGGAGCAGAATGCAGAGTGCAAGGCGATGCACATGTCCTGCCAGGCAGCCGGCTCAGGCTGTACAGACCTGGAGAGGGACTCGTGGTTTTATGTGGCAGGGACCCAGCTGCTTGAGCCTCCAAAGGCTGCTCCCAGGGGTATATTAGCAGGAGGCTGAAATGGGAATCAGAGCTGATATTTAAACCCAGGCACTGCAAAGCGGGACGCCGGCATCTTACCCACGCGGCGGGACGCCTGCATGGGCCGTATTTTAAAACACTGCCCTGGAAGGCTGGGCTTGTGCATAGTCACTTGTGACAGAAGGTCTGTTCCTCTGACTTCCTGGGACCCTGTGGAGTGTGTGGTGGTGTCCCTGCTTGTGGCTTTGGTTGCTAGGGCAACTCTGGGATGCGAAGAGTTTCCCATCAGCTTCATCGTTGCATCTGGGCTTCCAATTGTTCAAGAAACTGAAAGTCTACAAATGAAATGAATGTTCATATCCAATTGCCACCCCCCCAATAGACTGAGATCACAGAAATAATCACATTGATTTACTTCTAAATGAAATGTACATTTACTTCCGTTTTTAAATTTTTAATAGGTGAGCAGTGTTGGCATATGTTTACGTGGTACAATGTGATGTTATGTACATGTGTACATTTTGAAATGGTTAAACTGGGCTGGTTTGCATATCCATCACCTCATTTTTATTATTAGTGTTGGGAACATTTAAAATCTCTATTCAGCAATTTTGGAATATAATGGTAAATTATTCTGAACTGTGGCGATCATGCCATGCAACAGATCTCTAGAACTTCTTCTCCTGCATATTGAACCTTGAACCATTGGATTAATAACTCCTCCTCTCCTGTGCATCCCCAGGCCATAGACTATGCTAAACGCCATTCTACTCTCTGCTTCTCAGAGCTCAACGTTTCAGATTTCACACAAATATGAGATCACACAAAGGTTTCTTCCCGTGTATCGGTTTACGTCCCTTAACGTGTTCTGGATTCATCACTGTCACCACACGTGCCCAAATTGCCTCCTTTTGTGGGGCTGAATACCGCTGCATGGTGTCTGTTGAACGTTTATGTCCCTGCGTCCTTGGTGGACACTTAGGTCGTTTGTATCTCTGTTGCCGTGGTCCGTGCTGCAGTGAACAGCAGTCATGTTTGTTTCTGCTGGACTCCGAGGTAGGCCGTTCTCAGAGCTGCAGCCTTTGGGAAATGTGCCCGTGTCTCACTGTTGTCTAACACGTGTTTATAAACACTGTGATCTTGCTGGGTTAGTCACTCGGGCTTCTCTTTTATCTCTGTTTTCACAGACCGACAAGTTCTTGGGAGGCCTTTTGCTACAGATTCCTTCCTAGCCACCTGGTGTTGTCTGTGACAACAGACCTATGGCATATGGAGCAGGCCTCTTTCTTAAACTCCTTCGTTTTTCATATAAAAATAGTCCCAATAAAATATTTGAAAAGGAGTATGATTTTTGTTTTGCTCTGGATTGAAGCAGGAGTCAGCGAACAATAGCTTATGCCCCAAAGATAACCCACTGCCTGGTTCGATACGTGAAGTTTTTTAAGAACATAGCCGTGTCTGTTGGTGATGCTAATTGGCGCTGCTTTTACATTGCAGTGATGGAGATGAGTTGTTGCTAAAGAGTCTGTGTGGTCTGTAAAGTTTACCTGTAGACTGGCCAAACCCTGGGCAGAAGGAGCAATTAGACTTTGAAGTATTCTTCTTCTTCTTCTTCTTTTTTTTTTTTTTTTTGACAGGCAGAGTGGACAGTGAGAGAGAGAGAGAAAGGTCTTCCTTTGCCGTTGGTTCTCCCTCCAATGGCCGCCACGGCTGATCCGATGGCAGGAGCCAGGTGCTTCTCCTGGTCTCCCATGGGGTGCAGGGCCCAAGCACTTGGGCCATCCTCCACTGCACTCCCTGGCCACAGCAGAGAGCTGGCCTGGAAGAGGGGCAACCGGGACAGAATCCGGCTCCCCGACCGGGACTAGAACCCAGTGTGCCAGTGCTGCAAGGTGGAGGATTAGCCTATTGAGCCGGGGCGCTGGCCTGAAGTATTATTCTTAAAACTGGAATGGTTCAGGTTTTGTCAAGGTTGTTTTCTTTAAACTGCATGACAAAAATATTCTTTAGTTACAGCTGATGACAATTTATAACCAGATGAGATGAGGGAAAGTGCCTAGCGTCTACTGGGTGATTGGTGTCCAATTTTTTAAATATTCAAGGCCATTAAAATTCATTGTACATTAATTCATTAATGCTGAGAAGACAGCTAATGAGGCATGGATAAAAAATTACAGTGTGGCATGCTTATAATTGAACTGTGCGGTGAGACTTGGTTACATTGTTTCAGCTAGCATTACCTATTTTGATAGTCTTTATAATAATGTGAATTTTAATTAATATTCACATTAAAAATCAATCTATTTGAGGTTTCACTTGCTACAGATCAATAAGGCTAAGCTAGCAGTCACTTGCAAAAAAGTCTCATATTTCTTGTGTTTAATAGCTGCAGTTCAGTGTATTAAGGCTGAGTGTTTAATCATACTATCTCCCGGTCACAGCATTTTCGCAATAAAACATAGGGATGGCAGTGGTCTGTATCGTGGTAGCAACTTCAGTATGAATTATCTAACGCATGCTTACCTTTTTTTTTTTCCTTAACAGACTTGTGGAAGAAAGCAAACTGATTCCCCTCATTTTTGAAGTGATTCTGGTAAGAAAGGGACTGTGCATTGAAGGTCCAAGTGCAGTGTTTAATTGCTGAAGGTGTCAGTCAAGTTGCCTGAGGAGAGTTGGACGTGTCCCCCTGCCCCAGCCGAGGCAGGATGGTGTGTTCTGTAGCCTCTAACTTCACCACGTCGGACGTCAGCCTCCCCATCTGTGAAGGAGTGCCAAGCTCTGACCTTGGACAGGGTCACCGTTGAGTGTCCCACCCGCATTGCACATAGCCTTTGCTTTTTCTTTCTATTAAATGCCTTTTTTTTTTTTTTTTTGCTAACAGAAAGGACATCCCTTAACAATATGAGACTATTGCATGTTAATCCACAATTTACTTAGAAATCATAGTTAACCCGAGGTTGACCTGGAGGAGGCAGGCAAAAGGACGATGGACGCACTTGGTTATGAATTTGCTGGTGTCCCAGATGAAGTCCTCCGACTTTCTAATCCCTGAGTACCAGATCAGCAGTGTTGTGCTGTTGAATAAAGTCTTTCAGCTGTGGTTCCTACATGTAGAGTGTAAACTGGGATGCAGAGTTGGCTCTCTTGAGCTCTGATAAATCCCTCTTTGTGCTAAGTACAGATACAAGAATTAGGTTGAAAGTTGAGTTAATGCTAAGAAAGGTTCTCTTGTACTGGAATGTGTTATCCTTTTTTTTTAAACTTTTATTTAATGAATATAGATATCCAAAGTACAGCTTATGGACTACATTGGCTCCCCCCCCCCCCCCCCCCCAAGAGTTCCCCCCCCAACCGAACCCCCCCCTGTTGCCGCTCTCTCTCCCCTTCCATTCATATCAAGATTCATTTTCAATTTTCTATATATACAGAAGATCAGTTTAGTATACATTAAGTAAAGATTTCAACAGTTTGCACCCACATAGAAGTGTGTTATCCTTTTTGACCAAGAACTTGACCTGCGTAGCTCGCTGACAGCACAGAGGACAAATGAGGGGACACTGCCCCAGTCACGCTGGCCTTACCTACCTTGGTCAGAGTGGAGCATTAGCTGTAGGAGTCTGGTAACCCTCCCGATGCAACACTTTCCTTAACCGTCTCAAAATAACAATCTATAGATTGTGTGCTGACTCTTCGGTGTGTGTGGTGAGGACTTTATTTTTCATAGGCACAGGTCACCTTTGCCCTTTAAGGAGAGCTCATTGGGTTTTCTGAGTTTCTTAATCCATTTGTGCATTATAACAAAATAGCATGCACCAATGAATTTATGAAGGACAGAACTCTCTCACAGTCCTGGAGGCTGGAAAGTGTAAGATGAGGGTGCAGGTGTTTGCTGTCTTTGGGGGCTTTCTTGCTGAGCCCCCACGTGGCAGAAAGCAGAAGGGCAAGATCGTGAGCAGCTGCAGAAGCCTTCTCTCTGAGGGCCCTAATTCTGTTACGGGGAAAGGAGCACTCATGGCCTAACCCCCTCTGACTACTACCACATTGGACACACCCACATTTTCCAGGTCTTGGAAATCGCCGCCCTGGACTTTGGTGTTGGATGGGCGGTGGGGATGGTTAGTACTCCCAAAACATGTCTGAAGTGACAAAATGACAAACCGCTTACCCATGCTGTGTGGAACATGCAACGTCGCTGGCATGACTGTGTGTACGTATCCTAAGGCTGTGTGGCATGGCCTAGAAGGGCAGAGGCAGGGTCAGCAGCAGGGTTAAAGAAATGTGATGAGGAGCCACGCCGTGAGGGACGTTGGGTCGCTTCCACCAGCTGAAGTGCGTGTTCCCGCACCTTGGTTGGATGCATTTTCCTCCGTAATTGGTTGTGAGGTTGATGGGTTTAGAGAACAGTGGTTCCAGCAGCCTCCTGCTATTGGCCGCAAGGTTGGGTTCAGGGCAAACATCAAAGCTGTGCAAAGTCAGCCACCCTCGGCCTGCGTATGACAAGAGACTGCTGTTGAACTTGTTCTGGAGCTGTGAAGGTCAACAGAGTTCCTCTTGTGACTGACAAAAAGTTCTCACTCCGTCCTTTGCCTCTCATCTCAAGGGCTACATAGAAAATTCCTTCCTGTAAGGTCAACAGAACCCTTATATACCTGGTTAATCTTTGTACACTAAAAGAAAGTGCTTTGGGGCAGGTGTGGTAGTGCAGCAGGTGTAAGCCACAGCTGGGGATGCCCCCATCCCACATGGCAGTGCTGGTTCAAGTCCCAGCTACTCCAGACTTACGATCCAGCTTCCTGCTATTGGTCCTGGGATGTAGCAGAAGATGGCCCAATTACTTTGGTTCCTGCCACCCACTTGGGAGATCCCGATGGAGTTCCCAGCTCCTGGCTTTGACCCGGCCTAGCTCTGGCTATTACAGCGATTTGGGAGGTGAATTAGCAGATGGAAGATCTCCTTCCCTCTTTTGGTCCTTCTCTCTACATTCCCTCACCTCATCACTCTGCCTTTCAAGTAGGTCAGTGTTTAAAGGAAAGTGTTTGGTGTTTTACAGATGATACTGCATGTTCAGTTGATGAACACCAACCTTGTGCTGTGCTGTGGCTGTGCTGCACAGTGACTGCGTAGAAGCCGACATCTGCTCCCCAGGTCAGGGTCGTTGGCTGTTCTGAGCCCCTTCAGCTGATAGGCGTGTCTGGGTGATGCTTCCTCTCCAATGTGAATAGCTCCATGCTCAGCTTTCCTCTAGGAAATTATTTTAAAGTAGGCATTATCGCTCTAATCTGAAGAAGAAAAGAATTGGAAGTCACCGGTTTGTGGAGCAGGACTTGGATGTTCTTGAAAAATGTTACTGAATTCTCACTCCATTTTTATCTTTCTTGAGTTGAATAATCTCAACTTTTTTTCTCTGTATAAATACATTTTAAAATCAGTGCGATGTCTCTGTAGCAGTTATCCTGTGACTTGTTACCTTGTCCTCTTAGACTTTTTGTTACCAAGCTAGCCATAATGCAATGTTTTATTGATTCTGTGATGCACATCTTTTTCCTCCAGATTTTCACATTGCTGAAACTGAGATATGTTTTCCAAATACATGGCATTTTACAGTTGCTCTCAGCCAGGTGACCTGGTTGTTATTGCTTCAACCAATTTATTTCCCTTTTATAAGTGACTAAGAGTGATGCATTATCAAAATCTATATCTGCATAAGTCTCTTTCAATAAAAAGCAAATGAAATTTTTAAGTGGAAAGAAACCGTGTCATGGTTTAATTGGCAGTGGTTTTCTTTCTTAGTGCTTGATAAAATAACAGTGCATCTTAAGACGGCAAGACTCCTAGATTCAAGGAAACACAAATGTGTATTTCAGTTCGGATTGGTTTCTGAGTTCAAGGGCCAGGTAGTGGCTAGCGGATATATGGCACTGTCAGCACATAATGAGATGATTGTGTGGGATCCTGCAGGCTTGGCTAACTACTTAGCCTTCCAGCTACCCATTTAAAAAAAAAAAAAAACTAAACAAAGCAGCTTTTGAGTCATTGAGGTGGTGGGCTGCTGTGACCTCTTTTTTTTTTTATTCTCAGCCCAAAACTGTTCTCCAGCTTCTGTTTGATGTAGTTGGAGCCTTCCTAAGAGGGTTTGTAACTTCTTTTCTGGAGTTCTTCATCTGTTGTGTTTCCCAGCAGGTGCATCTCCTCGATGTCGTTCATTAAGAAAGTAAGCCTGTTGCTTCAAAAGGGCAGGGCGTGCGGGCAGCTTCTGTCTTTTTCCTGTAGGCCTGGAGCGAAGGGAAGGTGGAAGGAGCAGAATTCTGAATTCAATGCCTGTTTGTATGAAATAACTGTGCAGAAATCTTCGGAAGAGCAGACATTTCTGGAGTTAGGTGGTAGACTAAGAACTGCAAGCATGGATTCAAATTGCTTAAAATAAATAACTAATTGAAAGTAACTCTTAGATCCTTTTTAAAAGCAGTCTCCAAGTTGTAACGGCCTACTCAGGAGGCACAGTGCCCCTTCCTGTCTGGCAGGGAATGTGCAGTTCCCTCAAAGTGACACTGCAGGGAGAGAGTGCTCTGTAAGCACAGAGTTAGGTTAGAGACGTAGTAGGGGCTTTCCTGGATGGCGGAGTAGAAAGCTGTGGACCCCAGAGGAGAGAAGGATAGACTCTGCTGGCGGGGGAGGTGGGAGGAGTTGGTCTCAGAAGTGATCTTTGAACAAGGTCTTGGGGAGAAAGAGTTGTCTCCCAGCTTGGGGGAGGAGAAAGCTGGCCTGGGGAGTAGTGAGTACATAAATGAGTCGTAAGTGCATGGAGCAGAGACTCTGCAGAAGTAGTAGGTAATGAGGCTAAAGGGTAGCATGGAACAAACTCCTGCCAGGGCTTTATCTGTGGTTATTTCATTGTTTGGCTTTGCAGATAATGCATGCTCTTCAAAATCAAAGTTTCCTCGAGTTCAGAAAACAATCTTCCAGCGCTCCTGTGCTCCGGGAGGTATATGCAAGGAGGAGGGAGGCCGATCCCCTGGGTTTGGGGCTCAGAAAAATCAGACTCAGAGTCGCAGGCAGGCACGTAGGGAAACCTTGAGGGTCCATCCATGCTCCTTCCATCGCCGGAGGACCAAGAGGACCAAAACAGGCTGAAAGCTGGATTCTGGAAGTTTCCATTAATTGTCATGGCCAACCACAGGGCCCGTGGAGAAGGGAGCGTGGAAGACAGAGCTGGTTTGAGAGGTCTAACCTAAGGTCCCGGGAGTGCTGCCACCACGTGCAGGCCAGAGAGCAGCAGAAAGTCTTGATCCTGAACTCAAGCTGCAGGTTTCCCTGCCACTGGTAACCGCAGCAGTGGGGAAAGCTGGGTGGCTGACGGCTTACAGAAAGTTGTTCTTCTTGGGAACCTGACTCTGCTTCCAGATCAGAGCCTCCTCGCAAGAGCCCTCATTCTCTCTCTCTTTTTTAATTTGACAGATAGATTTAGACAGTGAGAGAGAGAGAAAGGTCTTCCTTCTGTTGGTTCACTCCCCTAATGGCTGCTACGGCTGGGCGCTGTGCCGATCTGAAGCCAGGAGCCAGGTGCTTCCTCCTGGTCTCCCATGCGGGTGCAGG